ACTGCCCGCGCCGGCCAGGGGAGATGGTGTGGGGCAGAGGGGGGGGGGGGGGGGGGCAGCGCGGCCACTGCCCGCGCCCCCGCGGCCCGCCCTAGCTCGCCACCCCCACCGCCCCCATGGCGGAGGAGGAGCTCGCCCGAACGCTTGCGAGGTGGAGCACTGGGCAGCTGAGACTTTCCCCACCGCGAGCAAAAACAAGCGCATGGCCTGGTGTTGGGTCCCGCTGCTGCCGGCACCGGGCATGCGGGGCTGGGTCCCGCTGCCGCGTGCACGGGGCAGGCGGGGCGCGAGGCTGGCACGGTCGACGACAGCGATGCCAACGCTCACCACTTGCTGCTCGCCGCTCTCAAATCCCTCAGCGCTGAGATGTTCGAGGCCATCCAGACGACCAGTGAGAGCGCAGCGCGCGCCGATGTGCTGTCGCCTGAGCAGGTTGCGGCCGCAGGCCATCACATGGACTCCAACTTCGTGCTCTCAGACAGCCATCGCGAGCTCGTTTGTTGGCTACTCACCCATCATGGCGCGCTTCTTGAAGCTGGCTCTGACTCGTCTGGGCAGATGTCTCCGTCTTTTCTTGGTAGGGATGGAGATGATCACACAGACGCTGAAGCTCACGCACTCCTTCTCCTCGCCGCTGAACATGAGGCACAAGAGGATGACGAGGATCATGAGCATGCCATTCTTCTTGCGGAAGGGGCTACTGGCAACGACGATTCCAAGGACGAGCTGTACCCCGAGCTGATGGAGGGCATCTGGGAAGCGGGGCATAATGACGGCCCGAACGACAGCATCGGTGAGGAGGAGATGTCCGAAGGCGAGGGCGCGGCTGCCTCCTCTCGTACTGCCTCCTCGGCTACACATGTGACTGGCGCGGGCCTCGCTGGTGCGGATGCTGCTGCGCGCAGCGAATGCGTGCCCGCTTCTTCCGTGGACGGCGTTGCACTCGAGAGCAGCGGCGACCACGACGTAAACGACTCCTTTGAGCACGCTTCCGGCCAGGTGCTACCCGACCCTCCCGGACTTCAAGTACCACTTGACGATGCTGTTCCGCGTGAACCTCCTGATCCGCCTGTGGATCAGCTCCCTTCTGACGTCGCTGGACATGCTGCAGTGCCCCTTCCACCTGGGGGGCGTGCTGGACACGAGGCGCGTGTGTTGGGTCCCGCTGCTGCTGGCTCTGGGCATGCGGGGTTGGGCCCCGCTGCTGCTAATACGGGGCAGATGGGAACTGGGGCTAGCTCTGCCAACGACATCGACACCTACGATCTCCACCAGCTGCTGGCCTCTCTCAAGTTCCTCTGCCTGGAGATCCACAGGGCAACTCAGGCGACCAATGAAAGCGGAGACGGCAGCGCCGCGCATTCCGACCTGTTGTCGCCTGAGCAGTTGTCCACTGCAGTCCAGAACATAGACTCCCACCTCGTGCTCTCTGACAGCAATCGCGAGCTCGTCAGCTGGCTGCTTGCTCACTCTGTTGCTCTGCTGGAAGCTGGTGCTGACGTGCCTGGACAGATGCCTCCCATGCTTCTTGGGGGCGTCGGAGATGATCACGCTGACCCTGATTATGGCGCTACTCTTCCTGCTGCTGAACAAGAGGTACAAGACCATGATGAGCATCCTGGGTTGTCTTCGCTCCTCGCGGATGTGGCAGCCAACACCGACGATTTCGGGGACGAGCTGCGTTCCGAGCTGATGGAGGACACTCGTGGAGTGGAGCGGTTTGACGGCGTGCACGACTACTTCGGCGCTAGAGAGACGTCCACTGGCAACGGCGCGGCCGCGTGCACTGGCTCGGCCTCCTCGGCTACTCCTTCGACTGGCGTGGGCCCTGCTGGCGCTGATGGTGCCGCTCGCAGCGCTGGCTTGCCCGTCCTCTCCATGGACGGCGTCGCCATCGAGAACGGCGCCGACTACGACTTCAACGACTTCTCCGAGCACGCGGAGGAGGAGGAGGAGGAGGAGGAGGAGGAGGAGGAGGCTTCGACCAGGTGCCCTCCGTCGAGGTCCCCCTGAGGCCAGGCCCCGCGGGGGCCGCGGGCAGCGCGGCGAGCGCGCCCCAGACAGCAACGTTCGCCTCCCCCTCAGTGGCGTGGGCTGCTCCTCTTCCTCCTCGTTTCGTCCCCCTCTATTCGTCGTCGTCGTCCTCCTCCTCCTCCTGCTCCTCCTCCTCCTCCTCCTCCTCCTCCTCCTCCTCCTCCTCCTCCTCCTCCTCCTCCCCCTCCTCCTCCCTCCTTCCTCCTCCTCTCCTCCTCCTCCTCCTCCTCCTCCTCCTCCTCCTCCTCCTCCTCCTCCTCCTCCTCTTCCTCCTCTTCCTCCATCCCTATTCATTATGAGTAACCTCCTCCCTGCCGCACCACCAGATGTGTCCGTAGGCGGGGCCACGCCTTTCGCTTGAGGCTTCCTCTCAGTCCAACGTATTTTCTTGATGCGAGCATGAATTCAAAGAGGCTCGAAGGATGGAGGGCCAGTGGGTTCCAAAACGCGGCTCTCGCTTTGTCGCCGTGCACATTTTTCTTGAACGTTTGCAACAGCTTCGAGGATGTGGGGCTGGTGGTTTTCAATTAGCCGCTCTCGCCGTAGCGCCGCGCACATCCGTTTCAAAGCTAGCAACAGCTTTAAGAATGGAGGGCCGGTCGTTTTCTAGACATTGGCTCTCTCTTATCGCTGCGACATTCATCTTGATAAATGCAAGAGCATCACGGATGGATGGGGGCTGCTCGTTTTCAACACGTGGTTCTCGCCGGAGCACCGCGCTCACTCGTTGTAAAAGCTCGCAACAGTTAAACGGATGGAGGGCGGCTCAGGCGAATTCTTTTCAACATGAGACTCTCACTTGAGACATGCTCGAACTCAACCTAGAAGCGTGAAGTTATCCGTCTCGCATTCCTCATCAATCGCTATAAGGATGCACTGCAGTGCATGTTCCAGACGGGGCTTTCGCCAGCATGTCAGGCCCACAGCGTGTGGCATTCCTGCTTCGGCGCGGCGCATGGCTTCACTCCCCAGCATTTGAGGCCCCGCGCAGGCGGCTGACCCTGCGCATTTTGCTCGGAAGTGGCCTTCCCGCGCGGGCGCCGAATCACGTGGATGCGGCAACGGCAGCGGGGCCGCACGAGAGCGGGCGAAATGCTGACCTCGCCCAGGCGCCGCGCAGTTGTTGGAGCGAACGTGGCAGTGTTGTGTCGGCGCGGCGCATGCTTCGTCTTCGCCGCGCGCATCGTACGTTTGGCCGTTCCCGCCCCTGCGCGGCCCGCGTGGTTTTCCCGTCGCCAGGTCGTCGGAAGCGGGGCCGCGCACGAGCGCTTTCCGCTCGCTGGGTGGGCAACGCGTGCCAGTCCCCATCGGGCGAAGAGAACTAGGCACATGCACCGATCCTGGCCAGGCCCATCCTGGACCCAGGATCGGTGCACGTGCCTTCCTGGCCAGGGTAGGGGGGCGTATGCACCGATCCTGGGCTCAGGATGGGCCTGGCCGGAATCCGTGTATCTGCATAGTTTTTTTTCCTCGATCCCCAATGCAGACTGCACCATATTTGGTCGCTCGTGTTAGGGAAGGGAGGGTGGGAGCGGGCGGGGCCCTCTGACTCGCTCGGCCTGGCAGACTTCGAATCCCTCTCCTCCTCCCCCCCCCGTCCTTCTCCTCCTCCTCCTCCTCCTCCTCCTCCTCCTCCTCCTCCTCCTCCTCCTCCCTCTCCTCCTCCTCCTTCCTCCCTCCCACGACGGCTGGTCATCCTTGATCCCTCTCTTTTGCGACTCCGACAGCTTGTGATTCTCTTTCACCTCCACCGCCTCCTTCACCAAGCAAGGAGGAGTAGAGGGAACTGGTGTCCGTCCGCCGATCAGGCGCGAGACTTCGCCAAAGCGGCTCAGATGGCGACAGACACCCCCATGGGAGGGTGGCGCTCGATCGCCAGAAGCTTGAGGGCGCAGCAGGTGTAGGCGAGGCTGACGAACTCATTCCGACGCTGGGCCTCCTCCTCCTCCTCCTCCTCCTCCTCCTTCTCATCCTCCTTCTCCTCCATCCTCCTCCTTCTCCTCCTCCTCCTCCTCCACGATCTCCCTCCTCCTCCTCTCCTCTCTCCTCCTCCTCCTCCTCCTCCTCCTCCCCTTCCTCATCCTCCTCCTCCTCCTCCTCCTCCTCTCCTCCTCCTCCTCCTCTTCCTCTCTCCTCCTCCTCCTCCTCCCCTCCTCCTCCCCTCCTCCTCCTCCTTTCCTCCTTCCTCCTCCTCCCCCCCTCCTCCTCCTCCTCCGTCCTTCCCTCCTCCTCCCTCCTCCTCCTCCTCCTCCTCCTCCTCCTTCCTCCTCCTCCTATTCCTCCTCCTCTCCTCCTCCTCCTCCCGCCTCCTCCTCCTCCTTCCCCTCTTCCTCCCCCTCTCCTCCCCCTCCTCCTCTCCTCCTACTCATCCTCCTTCTCCTCTCCTCCTCCCTCCTCCTCTCTCCTCCCCCTCCTCCTCCTCCTCCTCCTTCTCCTCCTCCTCCTCCTCCTCCTCCTCCTCTCTTCCTCCACGACCCCTTCCTCCCTCTCCTCCTCCTCCTCCTCTCCTCCTCCTCCTCTCCTCACTCCACGATCCCCTCCTCCTCTCCTTTTCCCTCCTCCCTCCTCCTCCTCCCATCCCCCTCCTCCTCCCCTCCTCCTTCACCTCCCCCTCCTCCTCCTCCTCCTCCTCTCTCCTCCCTCCTCCTCCTCCTCCTCCTCCTCCTCCTCCTCCTCCTCCTCTCCTCCTCCTCCTCCTCCCTCCTCTCAAAGTTACTCTCCCATTCCCATCATCCTCATTATCATTCTCCTCTCGCCCTTGCTGTCGTCGTCATCCTCCTTCCCTTCTGGCGTCCTCCTCCTCCTCCTCCTCCTCCTCCTCTGCTACATCTCCCGTCTCGCCCTGCTCGTGATTTCCTCCTTCTCCGCCTCCATGCCTCCTCACCCTCCTGCTGCTGCCAGCTGCTTATGCTCCTCCTCCGCTGCTCCCCTTCTCCCCGCACTCCCCTCCCCGGCCAGCTCGCCAGGCCCTGTGGAGGCGGCTCCTGTCCAAGCTGGTGCTGAAGCCAAATTGCCCCCAACGGCTGGCCTGGGACGCTCTCGGGTTGCTTCTGATTACCTACGACTGCATCACGATGCCTCTGCAGGTGGGTGCAGCGGGGCTGGGCCGGGGCGCGGAGGGGCAAGTGAGGAGCACGAGAAGGAAAATGATGAGGAGGAATAAGAGGACGAGGAGGACAAGGATGAGGAGGAGGATGGGGGAGGAGGAGGAGGAAGAGGAGGAGGATGAGGAGGACGACGAGTACGACGAAGAGGATGAACAATGAGGAGGGTGAGGAGGAGAAGAAAGACGAAGGGGGAGGAAGAGGAGGAGGAGGAGGAGGAGGAGGAGG